GCCTGCTTAGGCAGAGCACAGTGGCTGGGGTTCGACCCCTGGCATACCATGCTGGCCCCACCCCCAGGGCGCACTGAGAGCATGATTGAGACTGGGCGAGGTGGCACGCGCCTGTAATCCCAGTGCTTGGGAGGCTGAAAACAGGAGAATTACTATGAGGCCAATCTATGTAGTGACACTCTGTAGACCCTGTACCAAATACAAAATAATAATAATAAAAAAATAAATTTACATTCTTTTGCTATCTGGGATTACAGGCGTGCACCACCATGCCCAGTCTCAATCACCATCTCAGTGCTTGGGAGGCTGCAAACAGGAGAATCACTCAGGAATTCCCTAGGACTGATACACACATGGAAGAACATCCACCTCAGTAGAAGAAGCCAAACACTGCTGCCCAACCGCCTCTCCCTGCCAAGCCTCCAGCCACAGCCAGGGGTATGCACACCCCAGGGGTGGCAGCCACAGTCCCCCCAAGTTCCTGCAGACAACGATGTGCCACGTTATATCTATGATGTGTTCCACATCCCCCTCCATCCCAAAAGCTGTAGTCTGATCTACATAGTGAGAGCTTGTAGACCCTGTATTAAATACCTAAACATTAAAAAGAAAAAAGAAAACTTTCAGATGGAAACTTTTACAGTCAAGCCACAAAGCCCCTGCCTGCCAAAGGCTGTGATCTCAGTTTGAGATTTCATGATAGTTCAAAACATAAAAAAAAATGTCGAATGCAAAATGTTGAATGCTTCACCATGCTTCTTTACAAAAGCTCATCGCATGATGTTCCTTCAGCACTCACACGAAACACTTAAGAGTTAAATGCAAATTTGACCATCGTGCAAATCTCCAACATGGTCAGATCCGATCTTTTCAAGATCTAGAATATATAAATGCACACATTATTTTTATTCACAAAATCAAATCAGAGCCTCTGTTGAAATCATTTTGAAAACTGTAATAGAAGATTACTAAACAATGTAACAAATTGGTCAGAAACAGTGATTAAAAAGCAAAGACAGCATGAATTTATGTATCTGCTTCATACACGTTGGAACTGCTTTAAAGGTTAAATTCCATTTACACTATGCATAACAAAATTCGGCTCTGCCCAATTTTCTAAAATGCACATAATAGACGAAGGTGAATACACGTATGCATACATATATACACATGCACATACAGGTTATAGCTCTGGCTTTGTAAGAAAACTTACATGAATGTATACTGCTGGAGCTTATTGGTCTTAGGAAGACTAAAAGACAATTAGGAGGAAGAAACTGAATTTCAGTCCCTGGTTGAGAGAGAGAGAGAGAGAGAGAGAGAGAGAGAGAGAGAGAGAGAGATTAACTGAATATTTGATTACTGGAGGCCTCCCCATAAGCAAAATATTTTTGCTCAATTATGCCTAATTATTTAATTGTTTACATTTACTAATGAAATGAGACAAGAAAAAATAAACAACTCTAAGGGCTGTTTTTCAGTAAGTGCATACGCATCAATCACCATGTGCAGAAAGATTCTTAAAACTGCACAAAGCTGGGCTGCTAACTAGAACGGCACATTTCAGCCCAATCGGGGAAGGCGCAGAAGCGGAATCACACAGAGCCGGGGCTTCTTTCCCACCGCACAGCTCAGCTGTAACGACCCATGCGCTGCTCTCTCTCGCACATCAATTACGATAATCACACTCGCAGTCGTTAAGCTGAATGTTCATTACTATCAGGATGCTGGTGACAGCAGATTCAATCACTGGGTCCAGGGGCAGCAGCCACCGTCCCACCCAAGTTTCCGCAGACAACGATGTGCCACATTAAATCCACGATGTGTTCCACATCCCCCTCCATTCCGAAAGCCATAGACAGCAAAGGTCAACTTCATGTTCTGTGCAATACGCTTAGCTTCTCTAAATCAATTCTTTGCACTTCAGGATATTTTTATGCTTCGGAGCTTATAAAATCCTGTTTGGAACCAAACTGCGTATGAAAATAATGGGAGTGGACTGCTGGACTGTTGTAATTCACCGACAATAAGGCCCAGGAGGAGAGCCTCCGTCCACGGAAAGGATCAGGCCCACAAAAGCCCCGAACTTTGGAGGCAAGGGACAGTGTGGAGTGGCTGCCCTGGGACCAGTTGTCTAAATGCACGTGGAACATCTTTCCCACTCAGACAGAGGCCCGAGGCCAGCGCTTCTGCTTCAGCAAACATGAACATATACGGGGGCTTTCACAACCCAAAGAACGTTTTCAGCACACTGAAATTTTTTATTGTCCTACTCTTTCAAATAGATTAAATTAGTAGGCTTTCCTTGTTGAATTAGACATTTATTTTCCATACTGAGAGCAGTATAATCAAGAATTTATAAATACAGCATTCTAACCTGAACATTCTAAAAGTTTGACCATTTAAAACAAAAACTTATAATCAAATAATTTAATGGGGGAGTTTGCAAATAGATCAAAGAAATATAACTCAAAACATGTACATGACTTTATTATTAATTTCTGCTTCATCAAAGATAAATCATATTTATATCATCATTGATTTGCATAATTTCAGCAAAAACATGATTCATTCTCACTTTTTTATTTTTGTGATTTGTTTACATAGTACTCCAAATCACTAACATTAGAAATAAAAGAACATTTAAATATTTCATATTTATTTGCTATAAATGTGATTAAAGAAAGAGTATTGAATTCTTATTTTATGTTCTCCCAACAGATATCCTCAAACATAACTGGTCAACAAATATTCCGAAAACTGCAGCTTCATGTTTAAAGGTGGCAAAAGAGAAAGCAAGTTCTTCATGTTGACAGCTTTAAACCATAATAGAACATTCAGAGCGTGGGAGTGAAACGTGCCCAGCGGAGCCGCTTCTCACCTGAGATGAGCCCAGCGCGTGCAGCGAAGTCTACGCACAGTTCAGGGGCAGCCTCCATCTCCCGGAGAGCCCCGTGTCGCCACGGAGAGCCCCGTGTCACCACGGCCCGCTTTGCGCGTCTCAGCTCCAGGCTCCCTGGGACTATCTTTAATCCACCAATAATAAATAAATTGTGGCCTCTACTTTCCAAGATCAAAAAATAAAATTACATAAAAGAAAAACAAGCCTGCTCTCAGCAGCCTGCTGGGTGTCCATGACACCCAAGTCCCTAGTTAGTATCACATCAAAACGCAGTTTTCATAATTGTAAAATTTTACATATAAGCAATGAAATGACTACCACACTGTGCAGATTACACTCAGCCACACGGAGGACAATTTGTTATTTAACTTTTTTTTTTTTTTTTTTTTTTTTTTTTGAGGGGAAATTTTATTTTTTCACCAGTTCTCAAATTTTTTTTTTTTTTTTTTTTTAGAAGAGTGGGAAAAATAACGAAGGAAGAGAGAGAAAAGGCAGAAAGGAGAAACAAAAGTTTGGAGGAAGAGAGTTATGTCAACTCGTGTTCAATGTTTTCTATAGTTTTGATGGGGTCAAGTGGGGCCATAATTTATTATGATTTTTTAAAAAGATTTTTCTTGGGCTGGGGAGATAGCTCAGTAGAATAAGTGCTTGCCTGGCAAGCGCCAGGGCCTCAGTTCAATCTTCGGTTCCAGAAAAAAAAAAAAAAATTCTTTTAATTTTTGGAGCATTTCAATTTTTAATGCTAGCAGTTTAGAATTATTGATGATTACTTTTCTTACATGCTCTCTGACAGTATGCAGTAATGAATAATGATTCCTCCAGACAAACAAAATAAGCTACTGCTTTTTTTCTTTTGAGAGTGCAGCTACAAGCTACTCTATTTCCATGAAGCTGTTTATTTCAGTTAGGTCGCATGCATATTCTTAGAATATATCAAAATGTATAAAGTGATATCTATGGCAAATAAATAAAGTTTTATATCATCTTAGGAGATAAGCATTTTTGAAAAAGAATATTTCTTATTTTGAAGAAAGTTAATGTTACAAGTTATTTACATTTTAAAGAAAGGAATAGTTCTTTGAATCAGTTATAATGGTCAGAAGGCCTTGAAACAAAATATTTATGACCAGTATAAAATGAGATACAGATTACAATATACAAACCAATAAATAAAATTAAACAAAAGTTCAAAATCATGCTTAGTTTGTATTCTGAATAGTTATATATTAGCTAAAAAAAACCAATATATACCAGTTTGTGGATTTTTAAAGATAAAATTATCAGCAAATATTTAGGCTTGTTACTCAGTTCCAGGATGACTGAATCAAAATACACACTCTATACACATATTCCTCCTGCCATGAAAAATTGCTAGTGGTTTAGAGGACATTTTCTAAAAAGCAACTTGGAAGAAAGATTCCCTTCCAAAGTGTTGGTCTTCCCCCCAGCACACTGCAGTCCGGGGTTCGCCTTGTCCCCGCGCAAAGTGGTGCACTTGGTTTCCTGGTGGGTCCCACGAGCTCTTCCTCCTGAGCAACAAGGTCCTGCTGACCAGAGCTTTCCTCTGTGTCTTGGCAGGTCAGAGGCTGCGCGGCCTCCACCACTGGCCTTCATATTAATGCATTACGTGTGTGTATAAACGCTTCTCATCTAAGATTGTTTTCCTTTATTTTTGTTTTTGCATCATGACCTTCTTTGTATTTGACCCTCATGTCTATCCAGGAAGCTTGTTTGTGTGACACAAAGCCGCGTGCACACAGGGGTGCAGAGGTTGAGCACGTGGGAGCAAGCGCTGGTCTCCGTGCCTGGGTGTGATCTCCATTCTCCGCACACTGTAGCTCTGCCACCCGATCACAGGCCAGAGGCAGGAGCCACGCCCTGGGCAGGGAGCACATGAATGACAATAATGGAAGAGGAACTTGGATCGCTCGTGAACATAATCAGCCAACATAGGTTGGCACTAACTTGAATAAAATAGCTATTAATAATTTTATAACCAGGAAGGCCTTAACTACAGAGAATATCCATATTTGCTGCAATCAGTGCGTACTTTAAAGCATGTGAGAAGAGCTCCTTTGTCCCCGTTTTGCTAGCTCACCGTGTTGCAGATCCATTTCCCCGGGTTTTCACTCCGGAAGTCTTGTGTTCTGTAGAAACTGGGATCGTACTTGCTTGAGGAGAGCATTGACGGCATGTGCTTTCCTTTTTTATGGTGGGAAGAAAACGGCAAAAACCTGAAAGAATGTTTAGGCAGCTTCTTAATTAAGTTTCTAAAGACACTTAATTTTAAAACAATAAGGATGTGGAGAAGTAGTATCATAAAACAACACACAGTGTGGAGTCAGTTTCGAGCGCTGCCCCGGACTGTGCCTGACTTCATGAATCTTCACCCCTGTGCAGCAAATTAAGACCTTGCACCTTTCCTCATGGAGTTGTTGTGTGTCCCAAAATTATATTGTAAATGCAGACTATATGGGATGATTAATCTATGCACCACAGAAGGCAGCTGGGTAGTTTACCCAAAATCCACCATGTGAGGAACATCATGTTAATTTAAAAACTCACTCCTCTGATAGGAGCAGTTCTCATTATAATGTTCTCTTCAGATCTTCAGTCACCCTAACACTGGATAGGATTATGTGAAAGAGAGTGTTTGAGTCAGTCCAGCCCTGTTCACATCTCAGCTTTGCCTTTGCTGTCAGCTGTGTTTGTTCTGTTACCAAGTCCCTTGACCTTTAGGAATCTTCCTACAGCGTTGTTAGGAGGAATCGTCATAATATTACATGTGTAAGACATTTACAATGTTTTGTTTCTTTAAATTTTAGTACAGGGTCTACAGGGTCTCGCTATGTAGACAGGACTTGTAGTGATCCTCCTGTGTTCAGCCTCCCAAGTGCTGGGATTACAGGTGTACCCCACCATGCCCAGTCTCGATCACTGGCTCAGCACACCATGGGAGTGGGGGCAGCAAGGCATGCAAGGGATGGAACCCCAGCTGCTGCGCTCTGCCTATGCAGGAGCCTTAATCCGCTGAGCTATCTGGCAGCCCGTCTGGGCTGCAATCTGACAGGCCCCTTTACTCTTGTGTCTGAACAAAATTTGATTTTTGGGGGGGAAAAGAGGACTGAAAAGACAAGGCTAAAAGACTGGGTGTTTCCCTGTCTATGAGTAACTCTACTGTCGTTTACCCATAAAATTTCATTAAAGTAATATAGATGCATATTCTGAAGTATATTACATATTTGTACGTGTATATGTATATATTCAAAAATATTTAGATGTTTCATAGATAATCTTTAAGTAACATCTGTCTTCAAGTTAGAGAGAAAATTGTTTAATTCACAAATAGGACTTGGTCATTTGATCAATAAATTACAGAAAGCAAGGTTGGGGGTATTCAGTGGGAGAGTGCTTATCTAGCACAAATGATGCCCTGAATTCATGCTCAGTAATGAAAAAAGGAATAAAAGGTATAAATAGCTATGAAAACCCTAAAAATCACAAATCTGCAATTGTTTCAGATATCAATTAATTTTAAAGGCATATTTTACAAGTTTTAAGTATATATTTAGTTGTACTTTATGCTGTTAGTGAACAGTTTCCCTTTTTTTTGAGACAGGATTTTGCTATGCAGTTCGGGCTGGCCTTGTGCTCACTTTGTAGCCTAGGCTGGTCTCGAACTCACAGCGATCCTCCTGTGTCAACCTCCAAGGGGTGGGATTACAGGGGTGCGCCTACCACACCCAGTTAATAGTTTTTAATTAGCTGAACACCATGTTGAAGAAGACATACATTTGACTTTATAATCTTAGTAAGGATATGGGTCTGACCCAAAGTCTCCAAAATGGTGCAGATCCAGTGGTTACATATGAACAAATCATTGCATGAACAGCTGCGCAGGTATAAAAGATCTAGTAGCAAGGTAGTGATCTCATGAAGCAAAAGTCAATTTCAGAAAAAAGTCCGCTTAACTTCAGGGATAACAGGCCTATTTTAAATACTGTGTAAAACCTTTATAAATTGACAATGTACAGAATGCAGCTTTCCCAGTAATAACACCAAGAAATCACTGATCCTCTCTTCCTTTTAACTTGTATTTCCTTCCTTTTCGTTTAGTCCTAGTACTCATGAGTTCAGGTTTTTCTATCAGCTTGCTGACTTCACCGATGGCCAATTCACACCGTCAAATCATGAACTTCGATGGCTCATTTCTTCCAGCCTAAATCCTCCAACCAGCCGCAACGGCTCTCCGAACGCGCCTGATCTCATCAGTCCTCTGCCGTCTCCCTGCAAGCTGCCTGCTTGTTTCCTTTCTCTCCCTCCTCCTCGCACGCCTCTGTGCTCCTCCCCGCCAGATGCAGACCTGTGCGCTGCCCACCTTACCGCTTCTCCGCTGTCTACACACCTTTTCCGTAAGCGCACATTAGCAATGTGCTTCTACGGACCGAGTGCTTTGTGAAACACAGCGGAGCAGTGGTGGAGGCCCCAGTGTATGCAAGCGGACTTGACCTTACAATAGGGCTTCGGTATGGAACAAACTCAAGATCAAGTCGAACGTCCTGAGTCATGCGATGCAAAGGTGCCCAAGAGGAAGGCTGACGTCTGTTCGTGCTCGTGGGCATCACGGAGAAGCAGCTTCCCACGCGGCGCGCCAGAGCTGAGCACAGGACAGCGGCGCTCATCAAGTCAGACATGGTGAGGGCTGATTTAGAAAGCAACACTTACGCAGATTGGACTTGGGTTAGGACATAAAAATGAATGCTGAAGGCCCCAAAGGAGGCTCAACATAGCTGCATAGCTGAGTTATTTTGACGTAAGCAAAGTGGATCAGAAAAGCCTTGCAGTGGAGGTGAGGTGCCCCGCTATGGACAGCATCCGCACTGATCTGTCACAGGCCTTTACACACTGCAGAGGGTGTTTCTTTATGTTCATGGGTGTGAATCCTGACTGCCCCATACGGTGTGCATACAAGCTAGCGTAGTTTCTGTCTTAGGGACATCACTCCACAACTGGACATGGTGATGGTGATTTGTTGGTATTAAGAGTCATGACTATGGAATGGGGCTCAGACGCCTACCATGCCATCGATCAGCCTTCTCTCTGTTCAAGGCTTCGAGTACAATATACACTCTAAGCAACAAGCAGGGTAAAGGGACATTTTATTACAAGTTAGGAATTGGGCTGCAGACTGCAATAAATTCTCCAGTGAGCTCTTAGTAAACAGACAAATATGTCTTTTTTGTCTGTACCAGAGGCAGCAGAATTAGTAAGTTTCTCCCAAACTTTACAGCATGGCTTATAGAAACCAATGCTTTCTAACCTGAACATTGCTCCTGGACCAGGCCTCCAGGCCCTCACAGCTAGCAAACATCAGAGCTGGCTGAGCAGTCCCAGCTGCCTCGCAGGAGATCTGGCTTCTCTCTCCCCGCTGGCCAACAGGGGGGGAGGAGAACACCAAAGACCCTCTTCCCAGTGAGCACATCCACTGTGATAACCTTTTACTTTTAAATAACCTTTTACTTTTAAATTTTTTTCCTTTCATTTTTCCTTTTTCATTTTAAAGAAAATTTTAAAAGAGAACAAAAAATGGTAAAATAAAAACATTAGAAATGATTCAGAATTTCACTAAACAAAATGATATGAATTCAGCAATGGTTGCTGTATTGCATATTGTTGTCTTCAAATTAGCTATTCAGATTACCAGATGTAAGCATGCAAAACTGGCCAAAAAAATTAAGGAGGGAAAAAATTAAACACTAACAGCTCCTCTCAACAGACCAGTAGAAATCAGCAGCACAGTCATCCCTCCCCTGAGAGTCAGGAAAAACTTTCTAGAAAGAGGAAAGTTTCTGGGACTGGCTGGGACTGCAGCCACTTGAGGGCCACGTTACAGCCACCCTCTTCCTCTGTGAGCTGAGTACAGCCAGAGGACGGAGGGGAAAGCAGGCAGGGAGCGTGGAGGCGGCAGGCCTCCCCGAGAGCAGCCTTGAAGCTGGACATCCATTCTCAGTCTGCCGTCCACGCTGGGTAAGCACCAGCACTTGGATCTAGAGGATCTTCCAAAGGAGGTGCAACCAGGAGGGACGGGACCTTTAGGGGACAGACCTAGCAGGAGGCTGGAGGTCTCCAGGGCATGCATTAGAGAGGTGCTTCTAGCCGCAAGCCCGGGCTCCCTCCTCTAGGCACACCCATCAGGATACGCTGCCCCACTCCCAACCGCAGGGTCTGACTGACCACAGACCCAAACCTTTCCAACTACCAGCCACAAGGAACCTTTCATGTTTTTTAAATTGGAAGTATTCTGTTACAGTGGCAGAATACCGACTGACAAAAGGCTTGTAGACTTGATTCATTGTTATTTATTTATTTTGCAGTACTGGGGATTGAACTCAGGACCCTGTACTTGCCAGGCAGGCGCTTATTCTACTGAGTTATCCCCCCAGCCCAGTTCATAGTTATATATATATATATATATATCTTACATCACTAATCTGTTTAATACTCTGTGATGCACATCATGTATGTGAAAAATGGTTAGTGGGTAGCTGCCCCACCTGAAGACTGTGAAATGCAAAGAAAAAAGATTAAAAATCCCCAGAACTCTGCAAAGGGAGAGAGTGAAGTTTTATGACACAGACAAAACAAGAGTCTAAGATCAGTCCTGAGGACTGTATCTTACTGGAGCTTGAAGACGAGTCAGATTTCATGAGGCAAAAGGGGAACCGAGGCAGACGTGGGTCGGGGCCTGTAAGTGCAGAAACTTGCACAGGAAGGCTGGGAGGTGCCTGTGGGGTCCTGTGAGGTGGGGGCGATGTGCAGGGCAAGGAGCATCAGAAGCGTGCTCCTCACCATGTGCTCAGACCGGATCCCAGGGGAAGGAGCTGGGCTGCAGCGGCTTCTGCTCCTCACACTCAGCAGCTCTAGGATGCCACCTCAGTTATTCAGTGACTCCACTCGGAGCCAGCACAGTGTGGACACAGTGTGGGGAATTGGCAAATGTGCAGACCGAGCAGGGGCCACTAGCACCTCCCCCTCAAGTCACTGCACCTCAAGCTGTGAGACTTTCCCTGCTGAGCCGCGTCTGGCATTTGCCACCTTTATTGGAAGAGAGCTCTTGTTTGTGAATTGTAAAATCAATGCAGGACTCCTTCTGAAGTGACTATCGAGGCATACCTTTTCATGTGGGAAGTGTTTGTATAATATTTTTTAATTTTCAGGTTTCCAACATTGGTGC